GATGCAGCAGCAGTCCCTGGGGATTTATTGATGGAATAATGTGTTTTGGACTAAATCTTTTTACTGGATTGGACCGTCTGGACCTTTGACAACGTAACAAGCCTGTTTTTGTTGGAATATAATCGATTGGTGGATTACTATGAGGCTTCAAAGGTGAGTCGCATCAATATTGATTGCACTGCTTGGTCTGACAGAGGCGCTGATTGTACTCGCTGTGGGGATTGTATCTTGAAATGGTTTGCATTGGTCGAATCACGGGGATTTTACATTTCAAACAAGTGTGATATGAGTATGAAGTTAACATAGCAGCTGCCATCATGACCTGACAGCCCGTGGGCGGGCATATGTACCAGTAATAGTACATAAGATTGGGAAGCAGAAGATATTAAATAGGTGGTGTACCCTATTAAGGAACTGTTTTTGTCAATTCACAGAAATTATGTGTCTGTTTAATTTTCACTGTTGGATGGATTATGTGCAATATCTCTTAGCTGGTACAGTAAAACATTATGATATTTGTAACAGTGATAGAAGAGGAAACTAGGAAGGAGAAGCCATGACAACACTGAACAAACTGCTGAGGAATTACGCTGGTGAAAGGTCAAATTTCATGTAAATTATTATTATTATTATATGTATTATTAACAAAGAAAATGTACATTTTGTATTTGCATTAATAACACATAATAATAAATTATACTACCATTATCATTATTGTTATTAGTAATATTATATTTTCTGTTGTATGTATTTGTTCATTCAATCAGCAAGAGCATCACAAAAAAAAACGCGTGTGTATCTTTCAGTACCTTCGGCTTACTCGCGCCCCGTCCTTACCATAATAACCGCTTTAGCTGCAACAGAAATCAGACAGGGGAAGGCGTGGAGGTTTGGAGCTACGTGGAGTGAGTGAACGAACGGTGGCCGGAAAACATAGTAGGCTCGAACTTTATTGGGTGGATCTGCATAAACTGTACTGTGAATGTAACATCATGTCAAATAGTTCAGATGGGGATGAGATGGAGTGATGATGTCCAGATCTGTAAGATTGAAAAGGGACTTGAGAGAAAGAGAGAGAGGGAAAAGTTGGTCAGAACATAGCGGGACCGGCGAGGGAAGTAATAACAAGAAACTGAGAGCTAGCCAGAGTGAGAAACAGAAGCCTGAGAAAAACGGAGAAAGTGCAAGGAAACGATTGGAAAGTTATAATTGAGTTCAACCAGGATGGTGGACACTATCACCCAATTAAACTTACCAAGGCGATTGAGAAGGAGATTGGCAAAATCAAATTTGCAAGATTTTTGAACAATAAACGAATACTGATACATGCAAGCAGCAAACAACAACAAGAAAAGATTCTTAGTATGTCCACACTTCAAGGGGAAAGGATGAAGGCCCACATCCCAGGAGCAACAGCAAAGGTTAGAGGAGTTATATCAGGAGTCCCTTTGAATATGTCAATGGAAGATGTTAAAAATGAGATTCAGGGAGGCAAAGCAGTTGAGGCTACTAGACTAAAAAGCAAACGAGATGGATCATTAAAAGACACACTATCTGTGGTTGTGCAATTTGAGAGAACCCTCCCTAAGTCAGTCCAAATGGGATACATAAATTACAGCGTGAGAGAATACATCCCTCCCCCTATCAGATGCTATAAATGTCAAAGGATGGGGCACACAGCTCAGCAGTGCAAAGGAAAGCTAAGGTGTGCTAGATGTGGGGGCCAGTACGAGTATGGGAAATGTGAAAAGGATGCAAAGATTAAATGTAGTAACTGTGGAGGAGAGCATAGTGCTGCATTTGGTGGATGTGAAGTGCAAAGAGAAGCCAGAGAAGCCCAAAAGGTGAAGATATTGAACAAAGTATCATATGCAGAAGCTCTAAAGAAAATAAGAGAAACAGGATCAAATAACAAAAACTCCAGTGGAATTGTCCAAAGAAACATAACACCAGTTAATCAGACACAAAACCAGATTCCAGCACACACACAAAATGGTTGAGAGCATAAATGTAAAGTTGACGATGATACGTTGATAGTGAAAAAAGTGAACTTTGTGGGTTTCATATGTCACACCATCAATGTTGCGTCCCAGTTGAAAAAGAAAAGTGACAGAATTAAGGCTATTGTAGAAGCAGCAGGAAAACTTCTTGATATGAAAGATATCAAAGCAGATCAAATACATGCATTGTTGACGGTAACTGAAAATGGAAATACACAAACAGAGGGTTAGGACGCTTATAATGGTTCTTCACATACTACAGTGGAACGCAAGAAGTCTTATAGCTAATGGTCAAGAATTCAAAAAGTACATTCATGAATTAGATGTTGTTCCAGATGCAATATGTGTACAAGAAACTTGGTTACGAGACAGACAAGATTATGTGATACCAGGGTTTAGCTCTATAAGGTACGATAGACCTAACAACCAAACTGGTGGAGGGTGCATCACCTTTATCAAGGATGGGTTGGCCTACAGGGAATCCCTAAGCTCAGAAGATTCAGAATGTATAATAGTTGAAATCTATAGCCCAAGGAAAGAGGGAAACATTAAATTGATTAATTTCTATAACCCATGCAAAAATTAGATATCAATAAACTTAATGAAATGGCAGGGACTGTATACAGGAAAGAAATATGATGTGGGGACTTCAATGCACACAACAGCTTATGGGGCAGCAATCACACAGATAATAATGGGGACATAATTGAAGAAATGATGGAAGAAAGATCACTGGTCTGCATTAATAATGGACAGGGAACACGAATGGATGTGAATAGGGGTAAAACATCATGTTTAGATATCACACTGGTATCAGATAATTTGGTAATCGCATGTGAATGGTTTGTTATGAATGATTCTACCATAGGAAGTGACCATTTTCCAGTTCTCACTATTATTAACACAAATATATGTTTCCAAGAAGGAAGTACAATTGGAAGTACAACAGATGGTGCTTTGAGAAAGCAGACTGGGAAAAATTTAGGTTATGTTGTACGAAGTCAGCAAACCTTGTGACGTTAGAAGGTGATGTAGAGGAATGCACAAAGCAAATTACAGAACACATTATAAATGCAGCACATTTAAGTATTCCAAAAAGAACAACAAAGGGCAGGAAGAAAGTGGTCCCCTGGTGGAATGAGGAGTGTAGCAGAGCTGTAAAAGAACGAAACAAAGCCTTTAAAACATTAAAGAAGAATTTATCACAAGAGAGTGTTTTGGATTTTCAAAGGAAAAGGGCAGTGGCACGTAGGACAATTAAGTTAACCAAAAAGAGAAGTTGGAAAAGTGCAGTTATACTACCGTTTAGCAAACCTGGTAAAGACCCAACCAATCCTGGTAATTATAGACCCATAGCTCTGACATCTCACTTATGCAAATGGATGGAGAGGATAATAGTTCGTAGGTTATCACATGTAATGGAACAGAGAGGACTACTGAGTAATATACAAAATGGATTTCGGAAAGGGCGGTCCACAACAGATGCTCTCTTTAGAGTAAGTAATGAGGTAGAAAAGGCACTGAAAATGAAAGAGCTGATGATAATAGTGTATTTTGACATTGAGAAGGCATATGATACTATGTGGAGGGAAGGACTACTTATTAAACTAAATAGAATGGGGTTTGAAGGAAGGATTTATAACTGGATACTAGACTTTTTAACAGATAGGAAAATTAGAGTAAAGGTTGGATCAGAAATTTCTACAGAGTTTAAGGTAAATAATGGCATTCCCCAGGGGAGCGCAATTAGCCCTATATTATTCAACATTATGATTAATGATATATTTTCAGATTTAGATGGACACATCAAATCAGCGTTATATGCAGATGATGGGGCCATATGGATGAGAGGAAGAAATGAGACATATGTATTAGAAAACATTAGGAAAGCAATAGGGAAAGTAGAGAAGTGGTCATCCAAGTGGGGATTTAAAATATCAACAAGCAAATCCTGTTATATGGTGTTCACAAACAAGCGAAAGTGTCATGTAGAAAAGCTTTTTCTATATCAGCAGCCAATGGAAAAAGTAAATGAATTTAAGTATTTGGGATTGTGGTTTGATAGTAAGTACACATGGAAAATACACATAAAGCAATTGGAAACTAAATGCAAACAAGTTATTAATTTACTGAGAGCGGTGGTGGGATGCGACTGGGGTGCAGATAAACAGTCACTAATTGACATATATAGAGCATGCATGAGGTCATCAATAGATTATGGTTGCATAGTATCTGATGCAGCAGCAAAAACAACATTGGAAAAAAATAATAAATTACAATACAGAGCCTTACGGATATGCATTGGAGCCATTAAGACAACTCCCATTAACACAATACTCATAGTAGCTGGAGAGACACCACTGGAGTTAAAAAGAGAGAAACTAGCGCTAGCATATTGGGTCAGATTGAAAAGAAGTGGGAAAGAAAACCCTGCAAAGGAGATAACAAAGGATTGTTGGGAATATTTCAAGTTTCGGGGGCATGGGTTTGGATGGACGGAGGAAAAGAGAGTCAGGGAATACGAATGGAAGCATTAGATTTCACCACACCCGATCCAGTCAGTAACATTCCACCTTGGCTCTATCCAGATGTAAAAACAGATTTTAGTATACTGGAAAGGAAAGAGGATGGGGAATAGAGGAAGTGGGAATACGGACTAGCAGCTATCTGAGAAACAGTTTCCATAATTATCTAAACATCTATACAGATGGATCTAAAAACAAACAGGAATGTGTGGGATTTGGAATACATATACCAGAATTCAAAATAAATATCTCAAAACGATTATCAGTTAAAAGTTGTTTGCAATCCGCCATTAACGAAGAAGAAGAAGAAGAAGAAGAAGAAGAAGAAATCAGACGGCGGTTGGTTTGACCAAGGATTTGCATTCGGCGGCTTTACCGCAGTATTTGCTGAGGCAAACTTTTTTTTGTTGAGTTAGACATCCGGACAGTCTGCTCCTCACGCCCCAGTCGGAACGAATCTGCGCCATATTTGTTTCAGGAGGAGATTTACTATGTGAACACCAGTGTTTGACCTAGTTAAGTGCTGCATTCGGCGGTCCACAGATTATGAAGACGAGTTTTGTTTCACAGTTTTCTTAATCGCAGACATGTTTTTAATGAGGCTCTGCGCGCCACAGAGTCTGTTATCACGGTAAGACCCGTAGAACATGTTTGTTTTCCAAGCTTGCTAGACTTCTGACAAGTAACGTTAAGGCTCGCGTAAAGTTAAATTAACGTTAATCCAAGGGCCGGAACTGCATTTGTAGGACCCTTGTTTTCTTTGATAACGTTACTGCCAGCTAGCTATGTTACTCTAGACAGACCCCCGAAGCCAGTGTGTGTGCCTAAATCTGAGTTATTGATTACATGCATGTGGACCAGTTAATCCTACGGATGCGCACGTCGATATCACGGCCGACGTGCTAGCAGATAGGGGGGCTTTCTCATTTCTCAAATTTGTGACTCCTCGCATCGCGTTGTGGGGAGCTTTGTCGTTTCCTCGCTTGAACCGGAAGTTGTTCCGCTCTGCCATCTTACAGGCTGTCCCAAAGCTCTAATGCCCCATTCCAGACTGCTCTGACCTGGGATATGTCCAAGGTGAAATATCTGACTTTCAACCTCAAAGCGTTCCAGGTCCATGGTGATGCCTGGGGCTGAAAGTGAACGCAAAACATGGCTGACCGTGACAAACTCTCTGTGTTAATTAAAATTATGGCCAATTTAAGGGAAAAAAGTGACTGAAGTGGTCATCCTCAAAAGACAGAAAATGTTGTATATAATACTTATGTTTTTACATTTTACTGTAACGAGCTACCTAGCAAATATTTCTACATCAATTTACATGCAGAACAGGTTTTACTATATGATAGTATTTATATTTTTAATTAAATATATGCAAATATGTTTTATGTTGCCTTTTAGGTTATTGTTTACCATTTGCAATGTGTGCTTCCCTGGGAGCTGCCATTGTTGTGTGATGTCATTCGGTTGCTACTCCTGAAGTCAGGTACATATTTTTTTCTCCAAGTTCACAAAAAGGAAATCCGACATAAAGTGGCGTTCCATGGTACTTTTTCTAGTTGGAGGTAGGGATGAAACGATTACCGGTTTAACGGTAAACCATGGTAAAATTCCCAACGGTTATTATTACCGTACACATTGTAATTGCCATGGTAACCGGGTACAGTTAACCGCGCTATATTATAATCTCACGGCAAACGCTGTCCAGCGTCTCCCAGAAGCAGGCGCGCATGCGCAGAATGCAACGTGGGTTTGGGTCAGTGACAACACGGCGGAAGACGACGCTGCAGAGATTCTTCAGTCACTCTGAAGTCTGGTTGTGGTTTAGTTTTACCGGAGCGCTGAGGGAAACTTGATTGAAGAAAATGACCTTATAGTGAACGCAGGGTGAGTTCACTTTTAGCTTTGGTTTGTCTCTCTGACTTGCTAACTGAAGCTTGTAAACTGAAGCTCTCAGTGTTGCAGCTCTTGTGAAAACCATATGTAGGAGCCATACACTGGGTTTGTTTGAGTTTTTATTGGGTTTCCTCTCTTTTCTTTGCACTGTAGTGTACATGCACGCGCATCGTCACGTCATCAGTTACTGTGGGTGTGACCGGGGGCGTGGTGTCTGTATTAATGTGTGTGTGTGTTCACCTGTGAGGAAGCTTGGGTTGATCATGGCTGCAGGGTGAGCATGGGGAAGAACTTTCTGTTGACCGTTACCATCGTCGTCAACATCTTACACTGATGTCTCTGAGGTACCTTTTGCACTACTTACAACATGCATCACTCAAAGTAAGTGATTGGTTTTCTATGTATGTGAAATAGCGTAATAAAGAGACTCAATATGTACGATGGTTCAGCGTGACGCGTCTTCAGTGTAAATCCTCATGTTTCAGCCTGCTGTGGCGTTTTAGTTGTTTTGGTGGGTCTGGTCTGTTTGTTTTACTGGTATACGCCGCAATATTGTGTCAACAGAAAGTTGTTGTTGCGCTGATTCAAACGTATTGTCGGGACTACACTGGATGTTTGCAATCACTTTCCATGTTGTAAGCGATAGACAGCCAGCGCTTTAGGACTCACGTAAGCCCATTCATTCACAAATTGGCTGTTACTATGCTCATTTTGTCAAGCAGTCGTCTTTATCACAAGGTATAAAACATTGAACTTTGTGGATTGTCTGTTAAGGACCAATTGTATTCCCTGCTAGGCTCAGCGGTACTTTCGCATAAGGTGATTGTACTGTTTGTTTGTTTTGGGACTTTTTGTAGTATTTTGGTTCGTGCGTCAAGCGGGTGAAGCATTGCGCTTGGGAGTGCCGCCGTGGTTCTGGTTCTAAGACGGTCAGTCTGGTTCAAGACTATCGGTATTTAGGTACATAAATACCCACCGCTAGTATGCACAGAAGACTAGGGTTGAGTGAGTTTAGCTTCAGTGAATAAGTTAGAGGGAATCAAAGACAACACATTGTACCTTGTTCACATGGTATGTGTCATGAAATATGATATAAGGCATTATGGGCGCTGTTTAGCATGTCATTAGCAGGTACTTTGCAGTTTTAACATTAGCAGATTATTGGATTATTTTGTAAACGAAAATGGAGTTGAATGGTTCCAGGTCAATTGAGAAAAGACAAACAAAACTTACACCCAAGGCTTTTGAATATAAATTGGAGCAGCTCCAAGAAGAACGTCAAGTAAAAGTAAGAAAAATTAAAGATGCAATAAGAGAAATTAAAGACCTAATGAAAAGTGTTGGAAATGCTAAAAAAATACGGTCTTGTCTTGAAAGTTTGTCGAGTTTGTTAACAGAAGCAAGTCATCTCCATGGCGTTGTTGTTCCTATGCTTCCACCTGAGGAACAAGAAAAACAAAATGCTTGGTTTTATAGTGTTGAAGAACATAAAACTGCTTTTGTGGAGGAGACTAATAAATGGCTGCTGGAGGCGCCAGAGGCACCAGCAGAGGGCGTTGTTGCACCATGTTTAGGATCTGCTGTTTTCAGCGATAATGAGCCATGCATAGTCAAAACTGTGGAAAATGCAGAAGATGACGTTAGGCCAAGTGATAGTGTTTCCAATGTGTCATTGAGGTCAAAGAGATTCAGTACAGTAGTGAGTAAACCTCTGTCTACTACATCATCAGCCAGAATAAGAGCTGAGGCTGAGACTGCTGCCCTTATGGTTCGTCAAAAGCTGCTGAGTAAAAAGCATGCCCTGGAGGAACAGCAGGAACTGTTGAGGAGAAAGCAGGAGGTGCTGGAGATGGACATGGAGCTGGCAGCGTCTATGGCTAAAGTGAGTGTGTTCAAGGCTTCAGAAGGATCTTGCGTGTCTCATGTTTCTGTGAAATCAGATGGGATGAACTCTTATTTGAAAAGAGGGAAAAGTACACAGTTGAGCCATGAAGCTCCAATATTTGTGCCGGAATTCAACACTCAACCATTGGCTGCAGAGGCGATAGGGGAAATTTCGTTTCCAGGTGATGCTTCTGTGAGGTCCAAGACATACAACAAAAGCCAGTTGCCTGCTGTTGTGACCTCGGCCGGTCAGTCCACTTTGCATAGTCTGCCTGCTGCTGTGACTGGGGTTGATCAGCACACTTTGCCAGAAGGTGTTTCTCATCCATCTATTACTAACTTTCTGTATGGAGATGCACCTGTAACCGTGAATAATTCTGATCAGCGTTTTCTCACAGTTTTAGAAAGGCAAAATCAAATCACGTCTTTATTGGTTGGACAACAGTCACTTTTTCTCTTACCTAAGCGAGATCTACAAGTTTTTGATGGAGATCCACTGCAGTATCAAACCTTCATAAGAGGATTTGAACACAACATTGAGGCAAGAACGCAAAGTCAGACGGATTGTTTGTATTACCTCGAACAGTATACGAGAGGTCAGCCCAGGGATTTGATCCGAAGTTGTCAACATCTGCCTCCGTCCATGGTTATAGTAAGGCAAAATCACTACTTCAGGAGCATTTTGGTGATCCATTTAAGGTAGCTTCTGCCTATATGGACAAGGTGCTTTCCTGGCCGATGCTTAAGGCCGAAGATGTCAAGGCTTTACGGGCCTACAGTTTATTGTTGCGGGAATGCTGCAACTCTATGGGAGTTTCTGCAAGTGATCTGAACGTACCTACGAATATGCAAATCATTGTGAAAAAACTGCCTTATAACTGAGGATTATTGGAGAAGTGTGGCCTGCGATATTCATGAGAAGTCTCATCGCAGAGCTATGTTCTCAGATATTGTGAAGTTTGTTGAGAGGCAAGTCAAGATGGCGAGTGACCCTCTTTTTGGAAATATACAAGAGACATCTGCGAGTGGAAGAAATGAAGTAAAAATGGTCCGGTCTCAACCTCGTTCAAAAGCCAGAGGCAGTAGTTTCGCTACTACTGTAGCACCTGCTGAGAATAAGGTGGAGCCTGGGTTTAAAAGGGAGAAGAATTCACTAGCGAAAGTTTGTTTGTTTTGCGGGGCTGGGCATTTGTTAGATGTTTGTTTTAGTTTGGATAAAAGAACACAAGATGAGAAAATTTCCTTTTTGAAGGAGAACCGTATGTGTTTTGGATGTCTGTGCGTCGGACACATGAGTAAAGACTGCCGAAAACGTATGACATGTAAAGTATGCAATAATAAGCATCCCACGTTGTTGCATATCTACCCCACAGCAAAACCAACGAGTCCGACTCAGGCCAATGGTGGCTTGAATATGGCCAGAGACGGTGCTGTGGTGTCTGTTCAGTCTAGTGGCTTGACTGGGGCCGGTAAGCAGGACTGTACGCTCTCTATCTTGCCTGTTCAAGTGAAATCTAAGAGGGGTCAGGAGATCTTGGTCACATATGCGTTTTTGGACCCAGGGAGTACCGCCTCGTTTTGTACAGAGCGACTCATGACTCGGCTCAATCTTACAGGGAAGAAGTTGGGAATTCTCCTTAGGACTATGGGACAAGAGAAAGTGGTAGACAGTTACAAGTTGTCAGACTTGGAAGTCGCCGGGCTGGACTCGAACAACTTCTGTGGCCTGTCTGAGATTTTTACTCAGCAGAACATGCCGGTTCATCGAGGTAACATTCCAAGCTCAAAAGACCTTCAAAGATGGCCGCACCTAAGACACATAAAAATACCAGAGATCAATTCTGATGTGGA